GGAGCCCAACATGGGGCTCGATCCCACGACCCCGAGATCATAATCTGAGCCAAAATCAAGAGTTAGACACTTAACCGACTGAGCTACCCAGGCACCCCAAGAAGGGTTCTTTTTAAGAGGCAAGAGCTCTAAGCAGATCTCCAAGGGGGGTGGAAAGAAGACAGGAGAAAAGGTCTGTTGACAATGAGGAGGGTGATCTATGAATCTTGCTCCCAGAAGAGGAGAGGAGATAGAATGTAGGAAGGGGTGAATTGTCTTAAACCGAAGAGAAACCTCTTCTTCAATCTCCTCGATTGGTTTTTCCTCCTCTCTTCAACCTGTAAATAGTTGTAATGCCTCAAAATTCAGTTCTCTTCATCATAGTCTGTCTCCTGATGATTTCATCTGATATAGCTTGAAATACCATCTGTCCTCCGATGGCTCCCAAGACTGTCTCCAGTCTGGATCTCTGCTGTGAACTCAGGACTGCCCACTCAACATCTCTGCTGGGATGCTCACCAGACGCCTCAAAGTTAACAGGAGAAACACCGAACCCCTGATCTTCTCCCAAACCTCCTCCACCCACAGCCATCCCCATGGGAGGCCAACGAAGCTTGAGTCATCCTTGACTCATCTCTCTCTCACACAACTATCCAATCCATCAGCAAATCCCATTGCCTCCATCCTAAAAAAGGGAGAGAAAGTCCAGAATCCTAGCACTTTTCACACCTCCACTGTTACCCCTTGTCCAGCCACCAGCCCCTCTCACGAGGATTTTGGATTCGCCTCCCCGCTAGTCTTTTTGCTTCCACTCTAGCCCACCTACAAACTTTTCACAGCATGGTAGTTAGAAGGTTCATTTTTAGATGTCTCCCCTCTGCTCAGAGCCCAGGGCTAACTTCCATCTTCCTCAGAGTAAAAGCCAAAGTTCTTATGATGCCTCTAAGAGTCTATATTCCAGTGCCACCTTCTCCCTCCCTCCTGTGTAGGGTTGCGCACATGCAGGCCCCATCACTGTCCCTGCACCCTACCCTCCTCTGCTTTCTTTCTCCTCCTAACATGCTATTTACAATTTACAATTCACTTTTCTGTTCTCACTGTTTGGCTTCCCCACTGGATGAAAGTTCTACAAGGAAGGTTCTACAAAGTTTCTGTCCGGTTTGTTCACTGCTGTAGCCTCAGAGCCTAGAACACAGCTTGGGATATGATCGGTGTTGATTCAGATTTGTTGAATTCAATTTTCCCAAGTTATTCTCTTGCTTAAAACCCCTCAGTGACTCTTCATCTCCTTCGGAATAAAGTCTCCTCCTTTGTAGGCACCCAAGGCCCTTTGGGATCTGACCACCTGCCCACCTCTCCAGCCTCCTCTCTCACATGGTCCTCCAGAACACAGCCCAGTAGAATTAGCCACCACTCCTTATGGCGACTTGTCCACCACTGGTCTCCTTTCCCAAGAAAAGCTCTTCCAAAGCCACCTCTTTGGGAACTCATTTTGGGAGTCAATCGAATTAGGGTAGGCCCCACCCCTGTGCCCCCACAGTGCCCTGGGCTCTTGCCTCTCCTGGCCTCTACCAGTCTGCACTGACACCCTTTGTTTACTAGTCTATCCCCATGCTTGAGAGCAGAGGTGCCTCACTCTCAGGTTGGTATCTCCAGCCCCTAGCCAAGGAGACGCTCTGTTAGGTGGTGGCGGTGGTGGGTGGGATTGGTTATTATTATTGCTGTTACCTTTGATAAATATTTATTCAATCAATTACTCTCCTCAGTAGTACTAAATGTCCATATGCAGCTCAGCTTACTAATTAATTGGCTGATACATAGACTGGCTTGTTCTACTAACCAGAGAAACATGATAAGTGCCTCTTTGCACCCAGAGCTGTTTTCCCTTTTTAGAACCTCTTCTTCTTCAAAGTATGAAGAAGAGGGAGTAGCACATAATGAGGGAGGGCAGAAGTCACCTTGACTTCTTAGCAATCAGAATGGCTTCAAGGACACCCCTGGAGTCCACAGGCACCTGATAAGATCCTAGTGCAGGAGACATTTTTCTATTACACTTCAAATTTCCATACAAAAGGATATATTTTAGTCTAAATTTATTGCAGTCACAGGGCTCTTTGATCTGTCTGGCTTAGCTACATTTCTTAAGTAGACTTGAGTGAGAAGTGATTTTGCTTAGTCATTAAAAATCACCTATGGTGAAGGTTAAGTGTCCACACACCATCGTGTATTCATTCAATGAACCTTTATGCAGTTTCAGTGCCACTGGGAGCTGTGTAATGACACAGAAGAGGTCACCCTTGCCCTCGGAGAAGGCATGGCCCAGCATTTAGCAAAGGAGTCACTAGAGTTATTTACGTAGTTTTATCCTTCACATGAAGCTTTGCTTAATTGGAGGCAGATGCCTTCACAGGAAGACAAGAGGAAAGATTTCTTCTTCTTCTTCTTCTTCTTCTTCTTCTTCTTCTTCTTCTTCTTTTTTTAAAGTTTATTTGTTTTGAGAGAGAGAGTGAGTGAACGGGGAAGTGGCAGGGAAAAGAGAGAGTTCCAAGTAAGCTCTGCACTGCCAGTACGGAGACCGACACGGGGCTCAAACCCACGAACCATGAGATCATGACCTGAGCCAGAACCAATAGTTGGAAGCTTAAATGACTGAGCCACCCAGGTGCCCCAAGGAAAGATTTCTTTTGTACCCGCTGTGTACACAGAGTTCTGTCACCTTATTCCATTGAATCCTGACAGCTCTACCATTTCACAGATTGAAGAAACTGAGGCCCGGTGAGATTAAAGAGCGGGCCCGGGCAACATATGAGTAAGTGGTGGCTCTGAGATCCCAGTGAAGGTCTGCCAACAAAGGCCACGCCCTTTCTATTCCACCACCCTGGTGATGCAAATGCCCGCTCAGGCCATTCCAAGAACATCCATGGACCACAAAATGTACAGAGTTGCCATGTCTAAACGAACTCCATTGGGATCCTTTTACAGCTTTTTGAAAGCCAACAGTCATCCAGTAAATTCAAACACACACACACACACACACACACACACACACACACCATTAAGTTGAAAAGAAAAGTTGACACAAAGGAACAGTCTACTTATCTACTTATTTACCCATCCAAGGACATGGTTGGTGGCGTCTATCCCAGGCCTCTCCCTGCCCTGGGAGGGCTTTGGGGGAGCCCGGGTTCTTTTGGCTTCCTCTAGAAAGTGGCAGAGAAGAAGGGCGTCGACTCCAGCAATCATGCCGAGAGAGGCAGAGGGCCTGTGGCGTGAGGCCCCAAGAGTACAGAGGGTCAAGAGCAAGAAGAGGTACCTATGGCTATATGAGGAGCTCCCAGGTGGACACTCCATCTGTGGGCTCAGGGGAGCAGCCCTGCCTCCGTGGCCACAGTCTTACATCCCAGCTGCAGTGACCCCCAGTGAAGCCATCCGTGGACCAGCCGAAAGCAGAGCCCGGAAGTGGCCACCCAGCCTGCAATGCCACTTCTCTTCACCCTGCACAGTGCCTCCAGCACCCTACATCTATGGCGGGTTTTCGTTTGCTGGAAACATCTCTCCCTGGACGCCTCCCGCGGAATCCTCAAATTATTACACGCATCCACTGCCGGGCCCAGTGATTCGGAGTTCCATCCAGTGCTTCATTTGTAGGCTTTGAATAGTCTCTCTGAACCAGAGCGTTTCTGCCACGGCTGAGAGTTTTATTATTCTGAAAATAGGAATCACTTTGCACCCACGGTGTCTGGGAGGCAGATACCCTGCCTTCCCCAGCACTCACCCAGAGAAAGTTCCCATCCTTTGCTGGGGGGTGGGAGAGGGTTTAGCTACACACTCCATAACCAGTGTTCATGTGAGCGATTGAGGATTCTGCAGGCAATAACTTTGGGGGAAAATCCCCACTCCCATGAGCTGTGTTTTGGCTCAGATCCCTCCCAAGACTTGAGAAGTGATGTTAATCATCCAGAGTGTTTTAAAGCTCCTGGAAAAATCAGTGAAAGCGCTTTTCCTCTCCTCAACTACTTTCCCCGGGTGGGGGTGAGCATGAGCCCTTGGAAGCCCCCTCTCAGCACACAGGCACCCATGCTCTGGGCTCCTGGGGACTGTAACTCAGGACGGTAAAAATGGCTCCCTCTGCCAGGGCCTGGCTCTCAGGGACATCTGTGAAGTCGTGTCAAGCTGACTGAAAGGAAACCTCTCCTTCGGGTATGACTCAAGAAGAGCATTTCACCCAGAAGGAAGATGTGGGGGCGAAAACAAATCAATGAAGGATTTGCAGATAGATGTTCTTTGGGCCCGAGTACAATTTACAAAATGCAATGTAAAAGAAGATAAATCTCCTCCCCCTCTCTGCCAGCCGAGAGAGCAGATTCCTGAATAAAAACAACTCTTTGCAACAGAACCTTAGGCTCAGCTAGAAGTGAGTTTCCTCAAAAGGCACAGGGAAGGGGTTACAAATTCCTGAAATCCCACAAGCATTTTAATCCAGCAGCGTTAAAGTAGGGAAGGGGAGACCCGAGGACAGGGACCAGCGCCGTCTTCCTGCCGGGACAATTTACGGAAAAAAAAGTTGGATGGAATGAGTTTTTCAATAACACCGGGCAAGAGCCGCACAGCCATCTTCAGGCCAACCGGATGGCAGGTCATTGATTTAAGAAGCAAGTCAAGCCAGGGTTATTGCCCTTTTAATGATGCCCTGAGGGAAGGGACCCAGCAAGGAGGAAGGGTTCTGCAGGAACCCAGGCTTGTAGAAACACGTTTCCTAGCTCCTGCGAACCACTTGGGCAGCTGGGTGAAGCCAGGACCAAAACAAACACGTTGGGAGCCACCTCCAGACCCCTCAACCCCTCCCCTTCCTCCGAACCCCATGAAAACTTGATTGGTCTCAACTAAACACAAGCTGGGAGACTGGAGGGGAGGCAGAGGGGAAGAGGCAGAGACAGGGGGCCAGGCAGTGTCCATGCAGTCAGTGGTATCATTGATTTAGAGCCACACAAGCCCCAGAGTGCCATCGACAAGGATCATACCTCCTGCTGATCTCGGGGGAAATTCTCCAAGATCCATGGCTGGGAGTTTAGGAGAATCTCTAAGCCATCAGGAAGGAGCGAAGCACTGCAGCTCCTCAGAATGATGGACCAGGGCGAGCTTTAATTAACAGGGTCTGATGCCTCTTCTTTTTTGGTAACTGAGCAGATTTAAAGGGCTAGAGTCCCAATTTGGAGGGTGCCGGTGTGGCTCTTCCTGCTGCCGGTGCGGCTGCTCCGGCTGCTGGCACAGCTTCCCGCAGACCTCTCGCTCCAGCTCGGACTCGCGGCTCTGAAGGTGGGAAAGTGCAGCTAGTGACGTGGGGGGTCCCGGGCCGCGTGGTTTGGATCAGAACCGCAGGGCCGTGGACCTAGGCGCTGCCCACCCCTGGGAGAGCCCGGGTCTTCCATGCTGTCTCCCAGACCAGGAGGGAAGGTTGGGGCTCTTTGGGTGCAGGTGGCCTCGGGGGCGTCCTCTCCAGACGTGGAGCTGGATGGACGGTGCCTGGGGAAAGCAGGAAGCGTGGGCTCTGCTTTGCACTCCTCTCCTGAGAGCACTGCTGAGTGGCAGCCATCCTGTAAACTGCACGCCTGCCCATGCACACGCCTGCCCATGCACACGCACACGCCTGCCCACGCACACACACGCCTGCCCACGTATACACACGCCTGCCCCATGCACACACATGCCTGCCTGGGTACACATATATGCCTGCCCATATAAACACACTTGCCTCCCCATGCACACACACACGCCTGCCCAGGCACGCACACATGTCTGCCCAGGCACACACACACAGCTGTCCGGACACACGCACATGTCCCCCCTGCAGACATCCAGATGCAAAGCCACATGGACCGCAGCCAGCCAGACGTCTTACCCATACACCTGTGTTTTACAGGTAGATCGCCAAGAGAAGTAGTCGTGACACAGAGCATGGCCAGGAGGGGAGGTGGAGGGAAGACGGTGCAGGGAGGAGGGGAAAAGCTATGTGGGAGTTGCCCACCTCTCTGGCTGCCTTTCCTAGAGCAGGGCTCGTGTCTGGGATAGTTTCAGTTCAAGACCATCACCTCCAGGGAACCCCTCCCGCCACAACGCCTTTCTACTTGCTCCTGCTAGTCTATCTGGGAAGCCTCGTCTTGGGCAAGACCCCAGGGTCTCATCCTCATACTGGTTCACCATATGCTTGGCATCCAGACAACGGAGTTGACTTCTCTGGGATGCTTCTTTAGCCAGTACGGTAGTACCTTCCGTGATACCTTAATACCGCTTTCTCCCGGTAAATACACAAAATAAATCCGGCCAGGTGGGGCTCACCAGAGGCAGCGTTCCGCCTTGGAGTGAGTGCCAGGGGGTGTTCCAGAGGGAGCCGGGCTTTGGGATGGGGGGGGGGGG